TCAGTTAAGCATGTCAATATAAGAAAATGGGATAAAGTAAAAATAGCTGCCTGCCTATCGAAGTCAAGTTTTTCTTGCAGATGAACTTGTGTTAAGTTTATGAAAAAGAAGCCTAGGATTTTGTAGTTTTCAATTAAAAAAAATATGGATACTGTCCACCCATATTATCTCATTTAATACATACAATATGAGGTATGTTTGTTATTATTCTCTTACTACAGACAAAGAAACTGAGGCACAGATAATTTAACAAAGATGCTGAGGTCACATATCAGTACTCAAAACCAGGCTGACCAAGGGAGGAACATGTTTCTGGAAGACAGCAGTGGTAATAGGGTAAAATGCCAAATTACCTCCACTCACAATTCAGTGGCCAGAAATGGTTTGTAGCCACAAGTAACATCAAAGAGGTGGGAAGGGCAACTTGGATATTGAGTGATAGTAATGATTACCACCTGGAACTTACACTATATATGGAAGAAGAGGGGATGAAAGGCTTATGTATTTCCAAATGTTTTATGGTGCTTACTACATGTCCGATAGTACTTTAATGGCTTTCAAATAGAAACTCAGTTCATCCCCACAATAACCCAGTTACATTGTTCATTTTAATCCCCATTATACAGAAAGGGAAACTGAAGTTAAATAATTGACCTAGGTCATCACTAGTAAGTGGCAGAGGCAAGAATAAGTGCTAGGTAGTTTGGGTCCAGAGTCCAAGCACTCAGCCTCCATGGGAAACTGCCTCTCTGTTCTGCTTTCTTTCAATTTACATTCTGGGGCTTGGGGTTAGATGAGAGAGGTTGCAAGAGAGATGAAGACTACATTTATAACTGTAAATTTAAGTCTTTGTACATGCCAAGGACTCCAATAAGGTCAGGATACTTCACTGCTAGAGCTGGGGTACAGAACTGGGTGGGAGACGGGGGCAGTGGGAGTGAGTCTTGGGAAATGGGTGGAAAAGCAGCCTTGGGCCCTTTCCTTTCTGCTTTTCTCCCATTGCTGCATTTCTACTTCTTTAGCCTATTCAGATTGTACCTTAGTCACATGCTGAGGTTAGCTCATAAGCAGAGCAGGGAGAAAAATCATTCTCCTAGAGAGCACTGGCTAAATCATTTTCCCATAAGTGATCGAACAATAAGTCTTATTCCTATTGCATTACAGAGAATTTGCATATAATGACTGCTACTGTCAAACTAAATTGTAAAATCCATAAAGGAGGATGCTTGATAAAGAATACTCTGGTGATTATAAACCACCACTTCTTGCTGTGTCAGTTCTCTATGTCTTCACTTTTATATTGGTTGCTGTTAAACTGGAACACACCTCCTGCAGTTCAGCTAACTTTCACTCATTTCATAGCTGTGACTTGGGAGTCAGCGAACACCTCTGAGTATTGGAACTCTTGGTTCTCACAGACAGCATCACTCTAATTACACTATCTCAAGAGACAGAAGAAAAGGACAGACGATTCCCCTTAAAATGGAAGCTTTGCAATGCAGCACAAAAAGGAGCCCTTTGTGTGACACTGAAGCTTTTTGATTCCTGTCTCTCTCACCTGTTCATTCCTCTGGTTTGACTATAACACATGGACTCTGTCTGCAAAACACTTTAAAAATGCTGTATTGGCACCTTGCTGCAATCTGCCAGTACATTCCTTAGGGCCAGTCTGTCCATACGGTGCTTCTTGCCTCTCTATTTTCCTTAACTTTATTTTGATTAGGAGCTGTTGCCAGGGTTTTCTCTTCTCCCTAGTGCTGCAAAGTCTAGAGTGGTTGCTAGCAATAGAGGTTGCTATATAGCCATAGGGTTGCTGTGCGTTGCTGGTCAAGATCAGGTTATTTTTTATTATTTACAAGAAGCTGTGGCTACAGAGTTAGGAAACCTGATTCTATTTGCATTACAGCTTTATAGCAGCTCCTCACTTTGGCCGAGGTACTTTGTGTATCTTAGTTTTGGTTTCTCCCTCTGTAAAAATGAAAATTTAAACTGGAAGACTAAGAAAAATGTGTAAGCCAAACATTTTACACTTTATAACTACCAATATATAACAATAATTAAAATAATCCAAAGGCCATAATCTTATGCAGTTGTTAAGGACAAAAAAGAAAGGATAAATGCCATTTTAATTAATTCTGTAGATGGAAATAAATGGGGACATTCTCCCAGTAATTGTGTGACTGTATCTTAATGGAGTCCAAAAGAGTTTCCTCTTTGGGAAGTGTGAGCTAATACACCCACAGAGGAGTGATTGGGAACAGGGATATTTATACTAGATGGGAAATGCTGGGAAGCCGTGATTTTATATCAATACCCAGAGGCGAGATGTGGGCAGCTGATGATGTGCAAAAGAACATATAGATTTGAAATATTTCCTGTTCATTGTGGTGATGGAGTTCTCATATCATGTTAGAAGTCCAGGGTAGCAACTTATGACATATACTAGTATAATGTAAATATCTATCTTCCTGCCCGTCTGTCTGCATCACCCCAGGCTGTGAATGGCTGTTTAGTCTAGGATCACTAGTTGGTTGTCATGAACAGAGACCATACAATACCCACCAGCCAGGCAAACTCCTATTGTATGTTTAAGGACACCTTTTCTATTCCCCTGCCTTTCTACACACACCCAGTCAACTGCATGGAGGCAGCTCCAACCTCAGCCACATCTTGGACTCCTTCCTGACCCCAGCAAGCAACCACATTGATAAAATCTGCACCAGACACTCCCGTGCATTTGGAAGACATTCTAACTGTATGGAGATAAACTTGAATCGCCAGCAATAATTCCGATGGGGAGCTAGTCTAGCCTATTACTATTTCACTGAGTCTCTTGATTCACCACCCTCCTCACCCCTACCTTTTTTGTGTGTGTGTGGAAAGAATCCCAGCAGTACAAACTATTCTTTTCCTGGAGTCAACCTTCTGAATTCTCTCAATGGCATAAGCTCTGGGTGAATGAGTGGAAATGTAGAGGGGGAGAGGGCAATAATGACCCTAAACTAAAAGCTGCATCCTAGTTGTGTTTTTGTTTCTCTGGATTCAGGCAATGCCCTAAGCCAGAGGCTCAAGAGAGAGGGTGATAGTAACTACAAGCCAGTGTGGTTGGTAATCTAGGGGGTTCCAAAGTCAGACACCACCTGCTCCTTTCCTCTCCTGTCCTCCTCACTCCAGCAGGCAGGCAGGTTCGAAGCAGTGTGTGACCTCGAACTCTTGCCATGTCATTCCTGCTTTTTCTAACAACCTGACATTAACCACCTAATAGGTGTTCCTATTAGGGGTTATCTGGAATATTCTGATCCCAGCAAAAGAGGACGCCCTAGCCAACTCTGTTCAACACTGGGTGCTTCCCTCCTCCCTTCTCCCACAGCCTCCCACCCGCCCCCCAACTCCTTGACGCTGCTTTGTTTTTTCTCAACAGGCCCAGGTAGAGCTCTAGGGGAAAAGCCTCTAGACCAGTGCGTGTCAAACTTGAGCATGCGCCATATTTACCTGGAGAGCTTGTTGGCTTTTGCCGACAGAATTCCTGGTCTCCTAGTTCTGGGGGTAGAGCCCTTTATTTTGCATTTCTAACAAGTGGTTAGGAGATGCCACCAGTACGGGACCACTTTAAGGACCACTGCCTTAGATGAAAGGTGTTCTGGCTTGCGCTCCCCCTTTCTGTCCACCTCTCCCCACTCTATTCGCTCGTAGACCGTTTCTCCTTGTCCACAGTGGATTCGGCTTTTGGACTCTTGTTTTAACAGTTCCACTGCGGCCGGCGGTCGCGGGCGCTAAGGGGGACAGTGAGAATTTCCACCTGCGTCCCTCAGTTCTGCACAGCCTTGTTGCCTCTGCTGTGTTTTTGTCTACTGCAAGCTGCCCGTTGCACGCCTCCTTTCTCGGGTGTGAATTGTTCACCCTCTCCCCCTACACCTCACACGAAAGTGCAACCTTTTCTGCAACTTTGCAGCAGCAACGGGGATCGCCGCTGGTTTCCGTGCGCCCGTAATCTCGGGAAAGCTCCTCTAGGCTGGTCCACGCTCTGGGCGCTCCGGACGCAGCCTGGCGCGCAGTAGCGGTTCCTTGCGCCGGCTGTGCGTTCGGACCCTATCTAGCACCATCTCGGGGCTTAGGGTTTGGGCTGCTGCTCGACGCTCCTCTGTTGAGCTTCGGGAACCCAAGCCCGGAGGGGGGCGGTAGCAGCGTCAGGTGGCTGCTCTGCGTCCCCGCGCGCCGCCCAGTATCTCCTTGGTGCTCCGCCTCAGCTGGAGGGGGGAGGATTCACACCTCCGCCCCGGCAGCCTAGTCCTCGGGGGCAGTCGGGGTTCGGGACCCCGGAGCGAGAAGCCGAGATGTAATCCCTCCGATGGCCCGTTGCCCCTCCCAGGCATCCTGTCTGCTTCTCTCACTTCCTCTCCCACTCCACCGCCCCACTGGACTGCAAACGTTTGCCTCGATCTCCCCGGAGAGAAGAGCGGCTGCCTGGCGTCCAGCGCGGCTGAAGTTGGGATCAGCTGGGCTGCCTGGATCCAGCTGCGCGAGAGGGGTGGGCTAGGACGGAAGAAGAGAAGCATCAGTAAAGGGGTGTTGGTCTGGACTAAGAAGGACTGAGACAGAGAGGCTTGAGTTGGTTTTTCCAGCTTCCCCGTTCTCGGGGCTCGGTTCAGAGGGAGAAATGCTGAGCCCGCGACTGGGCGATCGCCGCCGCGGCAGCAGCCTCAGCAGCAGCTTCAGCATCAGCACCGGCGGGACAGCGACAGCGGGGGCGGCGCAGGCGCACTGTGCCCCGCCGAGCCTGCAGTTTCCGAGCCCCGTGTGCGGCACCGCCACAGTCTGGGCAGCGGCGGCCGGGGGAGCGCTACTACCATGAACTGCCTGGTTCTCCTCCCCAGAGCTGCTCATCCAGGTCGGGCTGGAGACACAGTTAGGGGACCTCGTCGCCGCCGCCGCGCCCCCTCTTCTTTCGACTCGGTCTTCTCCACCTTTTCCTCTTCTTCCTCTACCTTCTTTTCCAGCATTCCCCCCTCCCCCGCCGCGGATCCTGGCCGCCGCTCTCCAGACCCAGGATGCCGGGGGGCAAGAGAGGGCTGGTGGCACCGCAGAACACATTTTTGGAGAACATCGTCAGGCGCTCCAGCGGTAAGAAGAGTTGCAGTTCTGAACACCCCCCCCCCCATCCATCCCGCCCACATGCACCCCACATCCAGCCCATTCCATCTCTCCCAAGGGGGGAGGGGGATTTGGAAAGCCCTACCTGGTGGCTTCAGTTACTAGGTGGAACTGACTTGGGGTGGGAGCTGGAGGAAAGTTAGTTGCATCCTCCCCCATCTTGTACTCACCCCTCTCCCACCTGTCCAGAGCCCAGAACTGGAAGAAGCAAAGGGAGGGGGCGGGTAGGGTGTAGGTATGGGGATAGTTTCCCTATGGTTCATATTTCTCCTACATTTTCCCCTAAAGACGCTGCTGAGACTGATCACGTTCTTAGAGTTAACCTCAGTGGAAGGGTGTCCCCCAAGTTGAAAATGCTGTGAAGGTGGCTACTGAACAAGATTGGAGTCTTTGGTACAGCTTTTGGGCCCAGTGGGTATTGCTGAAAGGAACCTTAGATTGGAAGAATAGATGAAGTTGAACCTATAAAGAGTTAGTGTTTGATAGTGGTCTGTGGTGGTGGAATATAGGTGAATGGATAGTGAGTGGGTACACTATGGTGGGTATACCTGAAGGGGGTACCCCAATATCACATCAGCTAAAAAGAAATTTAAAGTAAAAAGTGCTTGAAAATGGGAAAGTAATCACTATGATCATATTTGTGTCTAAAGTTTCTCCTTTTTTATTCCCTGTTGTTTTTAGTCTATATTGAGCTATATGACATATCTGATTTGACTTAAAAGGAAATATGTAGAAGGAAAACAATAGCTACTGTGCTTTTAGAGTATTTGAAGAAAAAAATTCCCAAAATACCATTCTACCTTGCTACTGATGTTAAGGAGTTCTTTAAAGTGTCTTTAAAAGCGATATACATCTATGCATTCATCTCTTTTAAGATATTCTGAATGGGAGTGCGCTATGTTTTTATATTAAAGTGTTCTGTAAGGTAACATTTTAATACATTATAAACTTTACATTTTACTGAAACCAAATCTTCCATTTGCTTTTCATTTTTATGTAATTTTAATTTTATAAATTAGATATATAAAATATCCTTTACAGTTTTGTTTTTTCCTTTTCTTGGTATTTTATTTTATTTTGAGGTCCCTTGCAATAGAGTTTGGACCAAAGCAATAGAAATACTCTACGCAGTTCCATAATCCCTTGTTTATTTAGTTAGTAAAACAGTATTTATTTGGACACTTTATATAACAGACACTCTGTGGGGTCCTTTAAACAAAAAGTGGTTAAGACACTTCTGGTCTCAAAAAGTTCCCTGTCTAGTAGGCAAGACAGACACATACTCAAATGATAATAAATAAATGATAATAAATAATTAAATACACAATTACACTTTCCTTGAGTTAGCAGATTGGGTTAATTCTTAGATGAGGGATTCTAAAACTAGGGATTGTAAATATTTTCTCTGATTTGGGGAACTATATGTAGTTAAGGGTCCCAAAGTATTCTAAATCTTGGCATTTTAATTTGAGGCTTGTGGTTTTATTTCTTTCACTTTGATCAAGATATAGATCAAACTTTTTAAGATGAAAAAGTAATTTCTATACCATGTCTTAAATAAATGTAATATGTTTGTTTACCTTTCCAATGTGATGTCACATGTGTTTTTGATTTTATAACATAAATATAAATTCATAATGGTAGGCAATTTCTAGATTTATATATTATCTTCTTATATTAGTTTTACACAAAGATCCATAGCATAGGGCAATGTTACTCTTAAAAGAACCATTTTGGGAAACTTAAAGATTATTAGCTTTTTCTTATTTTAGCTTTTCATCTTGGGTTATACCAATTCCATGTAATTTGGTCTATGAGAAAGCTTTTCAGAGAAGGCCTTAAAAATAACACTCATAGGCCCTCTGTTTCTTTGTGTGATAAAGAGAAAGAAGACAAGAATTCTTTTACTGAACTTTACTAATTTAATACTTTTGCCTGGAAATTCTTATAGACACTGAAATGATGATCCAGTTTATCATGAACTTAAGACTCAGCTTATGTGGCTTAGAAATATTTACTTCTGTTGCCTCCATGTTATATCTATTGCCCAAATTAATGAATGCTTTATCTTTCTTACACTGCATGTTCATAACTGCTTTTTTTTGGCTTAATATTTTTTCCATGGAGATCACTGAGAGTGAATGAAAATTTACCTGTGTTGGCATTTTAAACACAACTTCTAATTGCTTATGGGTTAGCTTTTAATATGCTTCTTCAATACCCCTCAGCTTTGTTTGAAATATGACACAGAGTTGAGGTAAATACATGTGCACATGTATATAAGAAGTGCTGGGAAATCTCAGCACCAACTTAGAGAAAGAACCTTGGCAATTAAGAATTATGGTATTAAATTGATTCATACATTCCCACAGTATCACACAGTTATTGCCATTTCTATATGATTTGGCAGATAAATAGAAGAATTCATCCTGAGAAATTGTTTAATTGAGACTAACAGAAAATTCCCTTCAGGATTCTCACAGATGGATTGGGTTTGTCACAATGAAGATTTCATTATTCACTATCTTAACAACATTGAAAGGGAAGTGTTGGTAGAGCTTTAGTGATAAAAGAAAGAAAAGGAGCCAGCACTCCTAGCATACTTCAGAATGGAAGAAAGATAGCCTAGGATTTTCTGTTTACCTTTGCCCCACTAAATGTTTCTCTTGCTGATAAAACACTATTTCTTATGAAAAGGTTTTTTTTTTTTTAATTACAGTAAGAGTCAGGAGATCACAGGAGCATGTATAAAGCGGTACATGTGCACACACATTTTGTATCCACTCAGAGCAAAAGATAGAGGTAGGGTGGAGGTGGGGGAGAAGAGGGAGAGAGAGAGGAGAGAGAGAATAGAGAAGAGAGAGAAGGAGAGGGAGGGAAAGAGAAAGAGAGAGAGGGAGAGAGAATATTGAAAGGGAAGTGGTTACAAAAAGTACAGAAAAGCATTAGGATTTTAAGATTTAGTTGGCCATAGATAACATCAATGAACTCAAATCTCAGCCAATTAGGAGTCCATCAGAGAACATCTTGATGCAGAACAAAATGCTATGAAATGTAGTATAGCTTTTAAGCCTAAGGATTTCCTCATAAAGTTCCAAACTCCTCAGTTTCAATTTCCTAGAATAACAGTGCTCTATTCTGTGCCCTAGAGTAGCAGGGTAACCTATTTGCTGTTATTTTACACTTTTTGAGATTGGATTTTTATTTCCCTTATTGAGTTGACTCAGTCTGTTATGGAAAAGCATTTCAAATTGTAACTGGTGATTCAAAGTCTATAAAATAAAATAATGAGGGCCATTGAGTAGGATGGATACACACATATTTTATAGCCAAATCCCAAAATAGCAGAGATAGGGAATTTTCTTTAGTTTTTAGATAAAAGACAGGATAAAATAATTTTTAGACACATAAAAGGAATTACATGTGACTCTAGTAGACACAGAGAGCACAATACTACCTCAAGGAGTTGTAAAGGTCAAAAGTGCAATTGCAATAGGAAGGTTAAGCTACCTTTTTTGACTAGGAAGATCAAAATAAGTTAAGAAGGGGAAAGTTCTGGAACTGCGGGGTAATCTTTTTATGTCTGTGCCGTGTCTAAGAAGGACCCTGTCGCAAAATGCTTATGAGTGTTGTGTCTGGCCCATTATTAGTCTGTCTTACTTAAATTTCAGTTATACATGTCATTTATTCATCAATATAGATTGGACTGGAGGGAGTAATAGCTTGTGGGTCAGACCTTAATCATCTGCAAGAAACAGTTTTTAGAACTTTTGGGTAGAATTTCAGATTCAAAAAAGCCAAAGCATTTTAAACATTACAGGAAAACTAGAAATATTATTTAGAGAATATTGGGGCTCAAAGAAGAAGGAACCACAGGAGACAGTATTTCATAAACCACTTAACTTTCAAGACACAAAGTAAGCTCAATATTCTCAATTTTCTATTTTGTTTGAAATATCTGGATTGCATAAGCAGTTTCTTTATTCAGTTATCTCTTATAG